CACTTTCCAAAGATATTTCTAAAAATAATTTATTTTGAGACAACTGAAAACGTACTGAAAAGCTGGAAGAGTATAGAAAGAATATCTCTATGTCCGCTTTTAGCATATCACTTCATCAGCTGCTTGGGCTCTTTCTCTTTTATGTCAGTGTATAAATCCATTATTATCAGTTTCTCTGAGCTGTGTAACCATAGCTACAAAACTCTCTAAGTTCTCCATCAGATATTTCTCCTAAACAAGACCATCCCTGTGTCAATGGTAACTTCCAAATAAGAAAGCCATCTTGATACCACACTGCTGCCCAATCTCAGGTCCTCTTCAAATTCTGATGCCCATCTCAACAGGTGGCCCACTGTCCCATCAAGAATCGTATGTGACACTGTGGTCGTGTCTCTTTAGTTCTGTTTAATCCGGGTAATTCCTCAGGTTTTCAAATATTGGGGACTGAACCTAGGATCCCATGCTTTAATAAGCATCACTGGCCATCACTCTACAGGAGATGCAGCCTCGGTCTTAATTTCTAATCCCTCCAGTCTAAGACTCTGTGGGTCACACAAGAAATGCCTGAAGCTTACATATACTCCCTGGTTTTCTGACCTCTCTGATGTGAAAATTGGTGCACACTGGCCTTAACATTTTTTAGGGCAAATGTTTGAAATGAGGAAGGACAAACACAAAAGGTACGGGAGTATGTTGCTTAATAAATGTCCACAAAATAAACTTAACTTTTTGAATGATTTCCAGTCTAAGAATTTAAATTCTTATGCCCACAGGTGAATCTCCTTTTTTTGTCCTGAGCTTTATCTGAGTAGAATCAGAGGGAAGGTTCTTTTCAGTCCAGGATTGTATGAGATGTTGCCCTGTCAGGTCACATGGCAACAATTTCCTCTGTGGAACTCTTGCTCTCAGAGCAGCAGTTTGCTTCAGTCCCTTTAATGGCGGGTGGAGAGCTCAGCAGCTCAGTAGCAACTGAGCAGAAGATGCTCTTCTCCAAGCACAGCCCTAGCCCTGCTTAGGATTCTTCCTCCTCCATGGCTGGTAGCTAGGAGTTACATTGTTTCTGTTGGCTCTGACCAGAGCAGAAGTCACATTCAGTCTGAATGTGACATACTTCTACAAAAGCAAGTACAAAAATATAGAGAGAGCTACACGGCAGAGACTCAGGAGCAGCCATCTGGCTTGCCTGACTCACGCTGTTTAACTGAGCTGCGGTCTTTGGGAGTCATGGTCTAATGTAATGTAGCTTTGCTTTGAGCTTTTCTTTTTGGTATATGCATGTATGTTTGCTTCCTATCACTTGTTTCTTGTTCTTATTTGGGGCTGTGTATTTTCTCCATTTTTCAATAGATCTATCCCTTGAGCAGGAGACTCCATGTCTAGCTAGGAGGATGACGAACCTTCTCACCATCACAGAGGAGTACAATGTCTGAGTTCTTATCTGTAGGGCTGAGAGTACATATACACGTGTGCACGTGTTTATTTAGACTGTGTAGCCCATGCCTGCCTTGAGCTCACAGACCCCACGCCCGCCTCAGTATCCTAAGCACTGTGGTTCCTGGCAGGAACGGCAGTGCTCACTTGTGCAGTTATTTTTATTCATGATACTTTTTCTTTCATTTTCTTCTGTGTGTAAAGAGTGCACCCTTTCAAAAGGACAAAACGCCCTAACAGATATGTTGGGCCTAATAAATGCCCATACTTCTTTGCACAAGGGCAGAGGCATAGCATCCTCATGGATCAGGTGCAGGATTTACTGAGGGCTGTGTCCCTAAGTCTTCCCTCGGGGAAGTTGCAGCTTTGTGACAAGCATCATCTAATTCTGGCTCTCCTCTGCACTTGGAAAGGGGTCTAGTCCTCTCACACTGGCTGTTTTTATCACAGGTGCCCTCACAGTCTGAGAGGGGAGATGAGAGCAGAGGCAGCAGGTGTGCTTCTCTCCAAGAGAGAGAACTCAGCCAAGCAACAAAGCTATTGAACAAAGGATTTTGCTCCTAAAAACTGGGATTTTTTAAAGTCCTCTAGCTACTGCATCTTCCATGTTGCTACCAGAGCATTCTCAGGTGGAAAGTTAATCCTTTATCCCTGTACCCTGTGCATGTGGTACATGTCTATGTTTATGTGGGTGTGTATGGACCCCGTGTGGAGGCCACAGGTTCCCCTCAGGCATCTTTCTATCACTTTTTTTGGCAGGGTCTCTCACTGGATGCAGAGCCTACACCCAGCTAGAACTGCTGGGCTGCAAGACTGGGATGCTCCCATTTCTGCTTCCCAGTGCGGTGGTTCAGGTGAGTGCCACAACACCCAGCTTTTGACATGGTTGCCAAAACCAGGTCCCCATGCTTACAGAGCTGTTTCTCAAGGCCCCAGTTCAATAGTTTGAAAAGTCCAACACGGGGGGAGGACAAGAGTGACCTTGGTGGCAGAAACTGACAAACACTGGCCTAGCCAGAAGGGCAAGGCCAGTATCAACAATGTTAAGTCATGTTGCAAGTATGGGCCCTCCTTGATAAGCTGCCCTAAGGATGGCCTTCCTCCCAATAGCCCTTGAGTTCTCCATGCTAACTAAGCCTGAACAAAGAAAGCAGCCAAATCCCAGCAGAAAGCTTCCCATAGTATACCGGGTTAGTGACCTATGAAGCAGCCAAGGTCATGAAGACAAGGACAGTGGGAGTGACTCAGGGCTAGGAGCTTATGGCAGCATGACAATTAATTGCAGCTTGGTGCCCTAGATGAAAATGGAAAAGAAGCATGAGGATAACGCCAAGGGAATGTGAACAAAGGATGCACTTTGCCCCTACGGTGTGATATTATTGCAAGGAAGGGCGCGTGCATTACTAATTTATCATCTTAAAGTCAAGAAAACCACATATCTGTGGGCATGGGCCACGTGTGTGCTCTGTCTAATGGGCTCAGATTGGTCTCTTACAAACACAGTTTATGCTAGACTCCACCACGGAAGTGTTACGAGGGATTGCTAAAAGCCAGAGATCAAGTTGGGTTCTAGAAATGGTTTGTGGATAGGACTTGTTAAATAGTCCCTTAGGGATAATGCTGAAGTCTTCCAAATCAGGAACAAGTGGGATCCTAGGTTTAGGCTTAGGAACTCATGTTTAACATTGTCAATTTCTCTTTTGATTGATAGACTCTTGTTAGCACTAGGTTCAGGCATGGGGAACCCTGAAGTAATGACACCAGCTCCCTGGGCTTTTTACTAGTCTGTAAAATGGGATCATAAAACCACCTGCCTTATGGGATGAGTAAGTTCACACACAACACAACACATAGCATCTAGTATGATACAGTACTAAGGAAGTAAACTAGAGCTGCTGCATCTGGTCATCTCTGTGAAATGTGGACACATTACACACATTATCACAGCAGTACTTACCTTTCAGAGCTGTTGCCGGGTGGATGAGAATAGATGCTGTGAAATCATCCGTCTCGCAGCCCTGCTCTTGGCAAATCCTCAGTGCGGTTCAATTACTCATGACCTACGTTTACGGATCATCAGTAGGCCCACTGTCCTGGATCCAAGATTAGGCTGTCTTCTCTAAGAGCATTTCATAGACAGTAGAGGAAGTCACAGGAGACCTGGAGACCCAAACACAAGTGTGCCTGCGTCTAGGCTGTGAGGCCTGAAGGGGCTGAGAACTCAAAGTCCCTGCAAACCTGTACCCATTCCAACAACCTGTGGTCCGCTGTCTTCCTCCCCCAGGGGCTGGGTTTGCTGGGTAAGACACAGGGGTTCCTGCTGGCCAGCTGAACCATAAGCAATTCTGAATAAGTCCTGGCTGCCTCTGCAAGGCTGTGATGTAAGAAATTCTTCGCTGATATGAGTTCTTTATCTACAAAAAGACAATAAAATGCAGAGGACAAACAAGGCCCCCAAATGTACCTGTCAGGGAAGTCAAACCCATTTAGCCAAGGTGTGGAGGCCAGAGATATTTTCTGTGTTGACAAGGATGAACTGGAGAAAGACCTTGGTCACCTTTTCTCCTTCCCAGACAGCCCAGGGACACACATGCCTGTCTAGGTGGCCATGAGTTTACCACATCTGCCTGGATTTGTCAATTATAACTGGGCCTCAGTTTCCCCATCTGATAAAACTGTTTCTAGCAACCACTCAATAATTTCACTGGAACTGGAAATTCCATTGTTCTAAAGCTTTAGGGGAAAAAGGACCTGGTTCTGTAGGCCTAAAATGGACATTTAGTGAGAGGCCATCATTGTGAGGGGACATTGTCTATGGTCCAACTCAGGCTGCAAAGGCCTATGAGTCCACACCTGGATGTCTATGTATACCCAAGTGGTGGCAGTGCTGGTTCTTATTTTTCTGCCTAGTTTTTTACCTTTCTTCCTAGAGTGGAATACATGTTTTCCCAATCAGAAACGTCCTTCCTACAGGCAATATGGCTGCCAACCACACAGCCTCACCCTCTTAGCTCCCCACAAAAAAGAAGGGTTCAAGAACCAAACAGAGCTGAATCATTTGACCCTTTTGGGAGCATCTGCAGATATTGAAAAGGGAAAGACCTCTTGTCTAAAAAAACCAAGTCTAAAAAAACCAAATACTCAGAGACATCTTTGGCACCAAGGGGAGAGTTCAGCAGAGACTAAAGCCATCAGCACAATGAGGAATGCAAAGGAAGAGAGAGGATGGGAGGAGGAGGAAGGAGGGGAAGAGGAGGAAGAGGGAGGAGGAGGAAAAACAGGGAAATGGAGGCTGTGCATGAAAATAAGGGAAAGGGAGAGGGGAGAGATGACCCATGATCTAACTTCCTGATCTGAACCTGTATGAGCAGCTGTTTATCAAGGAAGATTTCTGTCTTGGCTTTTCCAGTTAAGGAAGATAATGATTTCCCTTCGCCCCTCTTCCCAACTTTTTTTGTTTGTTTGTTTCTTTTAGCCTGTTAGGTTCTTCAAATAGTAACCAATGGCTCCCAAAGAGTTGGAAATAGTCACACAGCGTATTTGTGAAAGATGGAATGAACTCACTTCGGAAAGAAACAAGGTTTATTTGATGGATATAAATAAGACAATCGGCACAAAGTACTCCTCATACACATGATAACAAAGTTATGAGCTGTACATACCTTGCACATGGTATTTCTACTAGACACGAGGTTACAATGACTGGCTGATACATGCCCATTGGTAGTTTCAAGGGTTCCTTAATTTTATTTATTTATTTATTTTTTCATATCGATGTCCATAATCACATGGATCAATATCACAACCCACATGCCACTCACTTGAAGAAATATTACAAGAAGCACTATCAAACAAGGGTCTCAGGGAATTAGATACATGGACCCCTGGCAGCATTCAAACGGCACTCTACACAAAAACACTGTGGCTAGAGCTTAGGTCAACACATTTGAGGTCTCATCAAAAACACTGTTTAAAAAGTAAAACCCACTTTCAAATGAAAGTTGACACGCTGTTAACGTGCATACTCAATACACAAATCATTAGATACAAAATTGAGACTGTCTATAGAAATCAAAAGGGGTCTAAATACAAGCCTGCTTTTGCACACAGTAAGATGTAGGCCACTTTTTCCTAAATGTTAGCCCAAACTTTTTGCTTAATTTCAACTACACTATGATTAGAAGGGAACCTGCTAGAGTTTGCACAAAGGAAATATCTTCTGAACATCACAGTGTTTGTTGTAAACCCAGACACTATTTGCAATGTGTGAAAAGGGATTTTTTTTCCTAACCCCAAAACTTTAGAGAATATTATACAAAATGGGAAATGATATTTCGTTAGATAGAATTTTATTTTTCAGGGACCAAACGATATGCTTGCAGGAAAATAAGATCAACAATACTTTCAACCAACAAAAGCAGGGCAAAAGAAAAATGATCCCCAAACATTAGATGTAACCAAATTGGCACATATGTAGAAATAGCTAACTACACATGGCTGGCCACTGTGTTTGCTACTTCAAGGACCCCATTTACCATCCTGGTTCTCCTACTGCATATTTCAAGTAGTTAGTTGCAGAGTTCAGGTCAGGACTTGGTGGCAGGAGGCTGTGAGGACTTTTCTGAGGACACCCAAACTGTACCTGGGAACCGGGGTTTGGCTTGGGTTTTCATTGCAACACTCTGCCAAAATGTACTAAATAAACTTGCAAAGAACTCTGTTCCCTTCTCTAACAAAGACCTAGATCCTTCTGATAGTTAAAGGACAAACTTTTTAAACATGAATGTATTTGGATCATTTATGTAACACGTAAGCTTTACACAGTTTCACTATTTACTGACAAGAATGAAGCCCAAAGCAAGAAACCTGCGTTAATGTATTACGCCTGACGCACCGGGAATGAAAGGTGCAACTCAGGAACAGTTTCCTTTCCCCAGCAAATAAGGGGTTTGCTTTTAAACATCTCTATGGCTCATGAGAGAGGTCCAGAGTTAATTGCACCAACAGTTGGAAAGTAATAATGATTAGATTCAATGCAAGATTTCAGCAGCTTCTGCTTAGAATCCTTTCCACAGCAGCAAAGAAAGACAATTGTATTTATTAAGGCCACTCATGCTTAAATTCACTGTTTGTCCTTTAGGAATGCAGGCGGGAGGGTTCCTCCCATTGACAAGAAAATGGGTCAATACAAGAGCTGCACACTTGCCAGGTTCAGTAGTGTGGTTTTATGAAGTTGTAATGACTAATAATTTTTAATCTTCAGAGGAAGCAGCAGGAGTTGAATTCTCCTTAGTACCTTGTCACTGTATTCAAAAGACCTTGGAATGTGGTCTCTTTCCCTGGCATGTGCTTCAAGATAAGAACTCTGTATCCACAGACAAGTTGTATAATGCTATTTACAGACATACAGCATTTGTGATTGCTCTTCATTCATCAATGTTTCCATGTTTGATGCTGAAAATGCTTTGGAATCCATGTTGGAGACATTTTCTTAAAAAAAAATAAAATAAAACAATAACAACAACGAAAAAACCCCAATGAGAAATGACCCTCCATTTACAGAAGACCCAAGCTCCCAGAGCTTGCCCAGCATTTGGATCTTGAAAATGAAGGAGTCTCAGTTTCGTATGGAGACCTGCATGTGTGAGAAGGAGAAGAGCCTGAGGCCAGGTCCTGTCCCAGCCCCGGGGTTCAAGGAGCATAGGCAGCATATATGCAGGTGCCTCAGGCTTTTATCACTCTCTGGTACATGAGCGGGACAATAAAATTATGAATGACCAATTTAGATGTGCCACGCACTGTCAGAGACACACACCATGTTCTCATAAGGCGATTTCTTGGCAAGTTTTTAGTGGTTTAAAAAATTGATTTCATTTCCAACCTGGCCCAGAGGTAACAACACATAATACCATCAAAATGTGGTTCCTTGACCAACAGATTACAGAAACAGAGGAGGGTAAAGGCTCTCTCAGTTTTTGGTCTTTTGCTTTCTTTGTCAAATATTCCATGCACCGTGGACAGCAGCAGCAGCACTCAGCAAGTTTAGATCGCCTGATAATCTATGCGTTAGGACCACTTAGACTGAGCAGCAGGATAACAGGTGATGGAGCTAGCTGTCCAATAGAAGCTGAATCCACACTTTGAACCCTGTGTAGCGTCACTGCATCCATGGGGCAAAGCGACAGAAATGAAACGTTCATCCCACAGCTTTCAGCAGAGATGGTCACTTTATAAAGGTCCAAATCCTGGTGGGAAATGAAGAGCCTGTCATTTTTCTCCTCCATCACATTCTTTATTTCCTATACACCCAAATCCGGAGAAACAAGGCCAACAAAATCAGGCAAGAAAGCGAACGTGAGAATCCTCCTTCCTTTTGGACCTGCCGCTGCGGCCGCTGGTGGACAATGAAGAGAGCCGCGCTGCCATAGATTATCAGGCTATTGCTGCAGAGCTGAGCTACCCTTTTAGGCAACCCTTCCGACAGCTGCAACGAGAAAGCACATGAGTTAACACGGAAAGACACTGCTGGTGCTATCTGGCACCACAGGGCAGAGGCCCCCTGCCCTCTCCCCATCCCGCCCACGGCCATTCTCTTCGGCTGGGGTAAGGGAGGAAAGGAAAGGGAATAAGGGAGAGGGCCAGAGAAAAAAGGAGAACTAGAACAGAAAGTTCAACTGTGTCTCTTGCACAGGTGTCTTTAGCAGAAGCCCTTTCAAACCATGTCCTGTTCTGCTCACACATTACTGATAACCACAGAAAAGGGAAAGGGAATATATCAGGTTCTCCTAGTGGCCACTTTGACACAGTCAAATGACATGTCACTTTTTCTCTCCACAGTTTTCTACAATAACTACCGTTTTACATTTTTAACTCAACTCAGAGAGATCTGAATGTTCAACACAGCCAATATGCCAAAAACTTTAACATTCACTTAAAAACCATGTGATGGCAAAACTTTCGAAGACCAGTAAACCATGGGAGAGCAGTGGTTTGAGTGACTGTTGGAGCTGGCAATTCCATTCACATGTATACACACAAAGGAAACCAAAAATCTGCACTCAAACAGATCCTTGAACTCAAGCATTCCAAGTGTCATTATTCACAGCAGCCCAAAGTGTGTGTCAACAAACAAGTGCATGAGCAAAATGCAGCGTGTGTATCACACCACTGCTGAGGCCACAGCTGTGACCATCTTCCCTGCTCACAGTCTGTGCCCTCGCCATCATCATTCAGCGGCTTGGGCTGCTGGGTGTCTCCAAGATACAGACAGAAGGTGGCTATCTGAAGACTGGCGGAGAAGGAAGAGTGCAATCACACCCACACGCACACACGCACGCACGCGCGCATGCACACACACATTTTTGTTTCATTTTATTCTTTGAAATAGGATTTTGCTTTGTAGCCTTGGCGGACCTTGAATTCGTGATCTGACCCCTTTGCCTCAGCCTCCCAAGTGCTGGGAAAGCAAGCGTGCCCCACCATGGTTTGCAGCGTGCACCGTTTTTTTATATCTATGCCTGTGGGTCTGACCTGGCAGTTGATCCACTGCCCTGCTCAAGCCCCAGCAGCTAAGGAGAAAGTGAAAGATCTCTTCCCAGATGAGCGTCAGCGCATCCTCAAGCAGTGTCAACGGAACGTATGGCTTATACTTTGAAAAGTCTGGTGTAATTCTTCCGGCTAAGAAACTTGAATCAGGAAAAAAAAAAAAAAAAAAGACTTTTGCAGAGCCAGAGATTTAGGGAGTTTCTAGAGCAGATCATATTACTCACTCTGGCACATAAAATCTCTGCAAAGTTTGTATGAAAATTGTAAGTCTGAGCACGCTTTCTGTTTCATGAGCTGTGCATAGCTCTCATTCTTTTGTATGTTAAGCATTCCTTAATCATCCCTTTAAAGGGCTAACCAATACATTAAAAGGCCAGATAGTGAAAAGAGAAAGGGAAACCTCGGAGAGTACTAAAATGCTCAGGTTTTTTTTCTTTACAGATGGGAAACTAAGTGAATAATTATGGTCAATGTCCAATGTCCTTGATATTTTTCCAAGATAAAGTAGCAGAGAGCAATTGTTTATTCAGTTGTGAGATAGGTTTCCAGCTGGGTACCAGGTCACAGAACAGAATGCAGGTCTCACAATCACAGTGTACTGCTTGTGGAAAAGTAATAGTTATTTGTCAATAATTAAATTATTATTTTAATTGAGTTTAATTAATTTTATCTATTATTTATTAATTCTGTAATATAAACATAAAGACAAACGTAGTTGTTATTTATTAACTAGAATAAAAAATAGTTAAACCATCCCTAATGGGTTAAATACTGATTTTAAAATGTCAATTAAAACAAAAGATGCAAACAACAGAAAAAACAAGTAGCATACTGTTTTGCATTTAGTGAGGACTGTCTCAGAGCCCTTAGGCCAGCTAGATCTTCAGCTATGTCTTTTAGGCCCTGTGATGCTTGTTAATTTTTTTTTTGGAAAGACAACAGAAATAACCACTACCGTGGATATAGCCACAGAACTGTCTTTAACAGTCTACCACACAAGCGTATTTTATAAATAAAATGATTTTTTTTAAGTGTTGCTACCCTTCAACAAAATGGTTGATCCACCAAGAGGCTCAGAGGAGTCTGTAGGAGAAAACAAAATCAAACCAAACCAAGCCAGACAAGACACTGCCAGCAGTTACAAACAGAGATCCTCGCTCCTCGAGAGGCATGTGAGGATGCACTTTCACCAATTTAAATGGGATCCAGGCCTCCAGCAATGGCAACCAGGGATGCCACCCACTGTAAGGCTCTTCCCGGCCTGGCTGAGCCTCCCTCAAGTAGATGCTCCAAGCAGCTGGTCCTAACCTCTCCAGGACCATCTGCAGGACCAGCTCTGGCTTCTGGGGGCAGCAATGGCTCTACTGTGATGGAGATGGCCACTCTAATGTACAGCTGTTGTATTGTGCCATCCTTGTCCACAGCTCCTTGTAATCCTGCTGCACTGGGATGGAAAACCTGTGGACTCCTGGCCAGGCTGGCAAGGTCTCCGCCAGCCTCCCTCCGCCCTGATGCTCTGTCTTTTCTTCTCCCTATGCTGTACCCTTTGACTTCATGACATTGCTCTTCTCCTAAGTGTGTCATTTTGTCCACATGCACTTATGTCATTTCTCCGGTGGATCAATTCTCTTTACTCTTTAGTCTCAGCCCAGATAGTGTGCAAGCCAGGAAGTCTCCTCTATGATCTCCATATTGTGAATTTTCTAGACTTGCCCTACCCAATATGGTAGTGGCTGGCCACACATGGCTATTGAACACTCAAAACATGTCTAATTCAAATTGAGACATGCTTAAAGTGTGAAATGCATACCAGATTTTGAAGATTTAATATGGAAAAAAGAATGTATACTATCTCCAGGAATCATTTTTAAGACTGACTTCACGTCAAAATACTTTGGATGTACTGAATCCCATAAAATACCTTGCCCTAAATTCTACCTGTTTCCTAGCACTTGAAACATGTGACTGCTAGGAAACCCAACATTATTGATGTGGCTTGCCATTTTAATCCCATTAGACAGCCATAGCCATATGGTTAAGTGTAGTGAGGACAAGGGCAGGGTGCTCTTGCTCACTTAGCGTCCTCTGAGCTTAGTGCAGCACTGGTTGGAGTACAGAGAATCTTAAAATCTCCTTCCTATCTAGCCTCCCTTGAAACAAGCCTTTCTATCCTGACCCCTGGCTTTTAGAGTGAACTATGTAGACCATGATTGTATTAACTCAATTGGTGTTACTAACCAGTTTGCTTTAAATGAATATTCAGAGAGTTCGCCCAAACAGATTTAGTTTAAGGACAGGGACCCTTCATTAGCTGATCTCTTTCTCCTGTCGTCCTTACAAAAGAAAAATTCAAGTGTGAAAGCTGTGGGCCTTCCCTGTGTTGAGAGAAGAGAATCATAGGGATGAGGGATGACAGCTTCCTTTAACAGTGGTCCTCAACCTTCCTAATGCTGCGACCCTTTAATACAGTTCCTCATGTCGTGGTGACCCACAACCATAAAATTATTTCATTGCTACTTCATAACTGTAATTTTGCTACTGCTATAAATCATAATGTGAATATCTGATATGCAGGATATCTGATATGTGTCCCTTATGAAACAACCTCCAAAAGGGGTTCTGATCTTCAGGCCTCTCCACAGCACAGCTGACAGCCAGCAAGCAGTAAGAGCCTCAGTCCTACACCCACATGCGAGTGAAATCTGTTAGTGACCTGAAAGAGCCTGGAGCGCAGTCCTCCAAGAGCCCTCCTGTCCAAGCCCTCTAAGGGCGGCTTTGCCTGGGGTTGTATGAAACCCTGTATAGAACTCACAAGAGACCTTCTGGACTCAGACGGTTGCAAAGTTTTTAGCATACCAAAGCACATGCTGGTGTCCAGGCTTTCTCACGCTGGCCTTCTGGCCCTCTCAGATCTTCTCACCTCGCAAGCTTCCCTCCTCCAGCTTCTCAGGCCTGCTATTTTGGCCATGTGCTGTTTTTTATTCTCTCTCTCTCTCTCTCTCTCTCTCTCTCTCTCTCTCTCTCTCTTCCCCCCCCCCCCCCCCCGCCTGCCCACCTACCATGGCCCAGTCCATTTTGCTGGCCATGTTTAGCCTACTTCTTTCTCTCCTGCTCTGGAGCCTTCCACCTGCCTATGGCTGTATGGCCCCTCTTATCTACAGTACAAACCTTCCCCTCAACCAAACCTTGGAGTGGTGGTGTCCTCACTTTCCAAATGGACCTACCTACCACAGAGGAGACCTATGGGGTGATAAATGGGTGAGATGCTGTGTTTCCATTCGTCTGGTTTGCAGCAACAGAGAACTAACATGGAGTATAGGCAATAAGGCTGGTGCTGGTGACAGTGACAGTAAAGGACACAGACAAAGCCCACATGCGCACTGAGCCTGTCTTCTCATGGGGGACAGATACACGCAGACCTATAAATGGACACCTGAAGGAAGTCTTAAATCTTTGTGCCCTGATTATGGACAACCAGGAAACAGATATCTCTGATTTTGGATGGGAAAAAGATGCCTAAAAGTTTCTGGTGGAAGAGAAAATAAAAAGCATTGACATCTTATTTCTATAATTTGATCTCATTTTCGTGCCCAGGTGGAAGTAGATACAAACATTTGCGAATCTGTGCATGGTGGGTACTCTTGATGTTTATCATGAAGGTATTTAATTTTTTCTCTATTAGAATACTTTTCAAATTTTTTTGTGAACATTTTAAACCGAAGAATGTGAAACTTGTGTCAAATTAGAATGCAAAGCTAGTTCCTTCATGGAAAGAAAAATCCCTATTAGGTGGTACAGCAGCATTTGGCTGGACTTTAGGTAGGGAGCAAGAGAGGCAGGAGACAGTCTGGCACAGCAGGGAGATTCTGGCTCAGGACAGATACCCCCAGGAAAGCCAGCTATAAATGTACTTCAGACTGTTTTTCTTTGGAATAAAGA